GGGGCAGGGACAGAGGAAGGTGTGTGTGGAGGGGGGGGCAGGGACAGAGGAAGGTGTGTGTGGAGGGCGGGGCAGGGACAGAGGAAGGTGTGTGTGGAGGGCGGGGCGGGGACAGAGGAGGAGTGCATGTTGGGGGGGCTGGACAGTTAGAAAGGATACATGCGAGTCTGGGGGGCTGTCTGTGGCACGCACATGGTGGGGGTTGATCTGAAATCATCAGAAGTTGCTCTGGTTATTGATGTGTGCTGGTTTGTGAAAACTTTCCTTATGAATCAGTAAGTGCTTACACATTGGCCTGGCGGCCTGGTTGACCACCTGTCTGAGAGGTTGTTACTCCTCTGTCAATCAGGACCATCCTGCAGAACAACTGGACAGAGGTGGTGGATCTGATCCTCAAGCCCCGGCCCGGAGGTAATGTTGTTTTCCGCAGCCTTGCGTCTAGAAACTCTCCTGTCCCAAAACCCGTACAGCGCTCGGGAGCGAACGGCCTTCGTCTGCGTCGCGAGCCCCAGCCGCCCGTCAGTTTGTGTGCGTGTCCCGTTGTCTGCTCTCTCATGCCGCCTCCCCCCCCCTCCAGCCGAGAAGGGCTACCTGGTGCGCTGCCGGGAGGAGTGGGCTCGCACCCAGGACCCCGAGGCGGCCCTGCGGAAGCTGCCGGTGAAGCGCTGCGTGGAGGGGCAGCTGCTGCGCGGACTGGCCAAGTACGGCAGGAAGAACATCGTCACCGCCTTCGGCCTCGTGAGTACGGCCCCTCCGCGGACGGGGCAGGGCGGAGCTCTGGGCCGCGGGTTCGGACCAGAACCGTGCCGCTGCCGCTTAGAGTGTTACAGCAGCGGTACAATAAGAAGAATAATTCCTCACACTTACACAGCGCTTTCCTGGACACTCCACTCAAAGCGCTTTACAGGTAATGGGGGCTCCCCTCCACCACCACCAGTGTGCAGCCCCACCTGGATGATGTGACGGCAGCCATAGTGCACCAGTACGCTCCCCACACACCAGCTCTCAGTGGGGAGGAGAGCAGAGTGGTGAAGCCAGTTCACAGATGGGGATTATTAGGAGGCCACGACTGGTAAAGGCCAGGAGGAAATTTGGTCAGGACTCCAGAATTAACACACCCACCCTTTTTGAGCAAAGCCCTGAGATTTTTCGTGACCTGTGGAGAGTAAGGACCTCAGTTTTATGTCTCATCCCAAGGATGGAGCCTTTTCTTTACAGTATAGTGCCCCCCTCCCTATACTGGAGAATTAGGACCCACACGGACTGCAGGGTGAGCGCCCCCTGCTGGTCCCACTAACACCACTTCAAGCAGCAACCTTAGCTTTCCCAGGAGTCTCCCCATCGAGGTACTGACCAGGCTCACACCTGCTGAGCTTCAGTGGGCTGCCAGCTGTGAGCTGCAGGGTGATATAGCTGCTGGCTGTTCAACATCGATTCCTTCGAGTTGAGCTTGTGGAAATAAGAATGCATTTAGAAGCAGAAGTCCTGTGATCATGTAGAAGTTTGCCATTTGCACAGAGGTTCCTGGTCAAACCAGGGGAGTTGCCTGAATCAGTTGCCTTTCTTCTAAGGAACTACTGTCCCTGTAAAGGCTTGTTTGAGGCATGCACTGCAAACAGAGGAGAGGATCACTGGATTGGTCCAGCAGCGGGTGGGGCAAACGTTGACACGGTTGTGGACCAATCCAGCGATCGTGCACTGCAGCGCGGGAGGTGTGTCTTGACGCTGTGGCTCTCCCCCACCCCCCGCAGATCCCCCGGAACAACCGGCTGATGTACATTCACAGCTACCAGAGCTACGTGTGGAACTGCATGGTGAGCCGGCGCATCGAGGCCTTCGGGCTGGAGGCCGTGCCCGGAGACCTGGTGCTCCGCGGAGGTGAGAGAGGCAGGGAGCTGACCGCGTTTGTATTCTCGGCCAAGGAAGTCCAGGCCAATAATCGCGTAGCCTTTTAAGATAAGATCACATTATTGGCCGTATACAATTTAGGAATTTGTCTTTTCGCATACCCCAGCTTGCTCTCCATGAGAAACTGGGGGTCAGAGCGCAGGGTCAGCCATTGTACAGCACCCCTGGAGCAGCTGGAGTTAAGGGCCTTGCTCAGGGGCCAGAGTAGGATTCCTCTTCCAGCCGTGGGATTCGAACCGGCAACCTTCCAGCCACTGGCGCAGATCCGTAGCCACAGAGCCACTGCACTGCCCCCACACTTACGCTAGAATATGCTTCCAGCCTGTGGGGAATTATTAATCACAGTGAACACAGTGCTGAAAAACGAGGGAGGGGTAAATGAGCAGACACAGGGCCCCAGCTGTAGGCTTAATGCCTCGTCCCAGCGGGTTGCCCGAGCACCTGAGAGTGGCCGCGATGAAGGAGTGGATCCAGGCAGGAAGGAGAACGGGTTCTGGCAGGCGCTAAGCAGTGCTGACTTTGTGCCACTTCTGTGCGTGTCCGTGCAGGCACCGCGGTGCCCCTGTCCCAGGAGGAGGCCGCCAGCCACACCATCCACGACGTGGTGATGCCCCTGCCCGGCTTTGACGTCATCTACCCAGCACACCACAGTGAGTCTGACGGCCTGGCCTCCAGGCCTTACAGGGCAGCTGCAGTCCCAGTTTCTCAGACCGGTTATTAGATCTCGCTAGCAAAGTAAATTCACCGACGTTCTAGAAAAAAATCACAAATGTCAGATTAAACACGAAATTGTGAAGTTTGTGAAAGTACTGTAAGTCGCCACAAACTCCAATAACCGATGCAGCCCTTCCTGCTCACTAGTCCCTGTAATGACTGATGTACGAGCAAACAAGTACAGGTTGTGCAGCAGATATTTCACTACAGCAATCCAACATTCCAGTGTGATCTGAGTTAACAAGCGAGTTGTGTTTGTCAGCAAAACCATCTCGAAGTCGAGAGCTATGTTTCTATTGGCTCAAAAGAGATGGATTCACAGGGCTGCTTGTTTACAATATAACAGGGCCGCTTCACCTCACCGGAGGGTTTTGTTGCCACGTTCTGAATTGCAGAACACGGCGCTGCGCAGAGCTGGAAATTTAAATTGACAAGTCAATGTGTATGTTTTGCCGTTGTTGCGACTTGAAATGCACTCATCAGTGCCGATTCTTTCTAACCCTGAAAATCAAAGGAGTGTTGCGGTTCTCGAGCTGCGCGCGAGACGGGGACTGTCGCCGGCGTGTCTGCTGTCACGCCTGCCCGTGTCCTCCGGGAGGTGCACGAGGCGGCGAGGGGTGTCGGAGAGATGCGTCTGCGCAGTTTGCTGCGGAGTAGGGCCCAGCGCTGCCCGTGTGACGTGTGTGTGCGTGTGTGTGTTCCAGTTGGAGAAGGCTACAGGGAGATGCTGTCGGCGGACGGCCTGGACATCGACAACATGCGACACAAGATCCGCGACTACTCCCTGTCTGGGGCCTACCGCCGCATCCTCCTGCGACCGCAGGACGTCCGCTGGTCAGTGTCCCCGTGCTCCCGGCGAGATCTCCTCCCTGGACTCGGGAGTCGGCTCAGAGGCTGCTTGGGCTGTTTCTGCACCCCCCCCCCGGCCATCAGGGGCTGGGGTTCGCAGTGTGCATTTGGTAGGAGGGTCTCGGATGTGTCCCTCGAACCGCTCCGCACCGGTCTTCCCTGCACAGGAAACCGGTGAGCCGGAGAGGTCTCAGGGTTTGGGGGATGCACTCGCACACCTGCCTACCAGCAAAGTTAATACCTGGATATAAGCCTCCTGGGATGTCTTGTATTTCCATAGGAGATCTTCATCGATTCTGTGATTTCCGGTTATCTTGTGGTTTGGTCAAGCTGGCAATGTAGCTCCCAGCTCAGGAGTACGAGCCTCTTTGTCTTTCACACCTGCTTTTTACTGTGTGCATCTGCAGAGTTCAAGTAGCGCAGCGGGGCTGTTTGGCTGCAGTCCAGACAGGAGCCTGCTGCTCCTGGAGCCTGCTGCTCCTGAACCCTGCACTGGGTGCAGCCTGTGTGCTACAGGAGTCCCGTCTGTTTTTATTTGATCCTTCACTCATCCAGATAATGTCCAGTGTTTCTTATGCTTGCCGTTTCTTTTGTATGCTAAGGGTATTCTTTACCGTGACAACTCAAGATGTGCCCCCAGCTGAGTCAACTCCCTGGGTGCAAGATTCATGCAATGCTAGTTCTGTTGTCTGCAGTGTAATGCAAATCCTAAATGAGCTTTTTTCCCCACGAGTCTTCTACATGTTTGCTGGTGTGTGCCACCGCCCTCTTCTGCTCTCCTGTGCCGTCTGGAGGCGGCGGTGGCTTTGGCCTTGCGGCCCTCGCGTGTCCTGGGCTGACCGCGGCCTGGGCGCCCCTCTCTTCTGTCCCCGTCCCCGCAGGGAGGTGATCAGCTACGACGACCCCCGCATCCCGCTGGTGCACACCGATGTCGAGCAGCTGGAGGGGAAACCGCCGCCGGTCTTCCCCAAAGGTCAGTCGGATTCTCTCCCATTCCCCTCGGGGACACACGCGGGGAGAGAGAGGGAGGGAGGGGAAGGGGGAGCGGTGTGGGTCCGAGGTGGCTTCAGGTCCAGCTGGGATTAGGACACGGAGCGCCCCCTACTGGCCCCTCGAACGCCTCTTCCAGCAGCGGTCTTGGCTTTCCCAGGAGTCTCCCCTCCAGGCACTGACCAGGCTCACGCCTGCGGAGCTCCAGTGGGCTGCCAGTTCTGAAGGGGGATCGCTGCTGGCTCAAGGACAGGAAGGCCTGGTGTGATCTGCCACAGTGTGTAGTCAAGCGTCTTCAAAGCTGGTGTCGGGACCTCGCGGTGCAGTGTGGTGTCAGAGCACTGGGATTTACTCCTTCCTCTCCTCTCTCCGTCTCTAGAGGGTCAGTACCGGGCTCTCAGGATGGAGTTCTCCTTGCCCCCCTCCACCTACGCCACCATGGCTATCCGCGAGGTACTGAAGATGGACACCAGCATCAAGAACCAGACCCAGCTCAACACCACCTGGCTCTGCTGACCTGCGCCGCCTGACCCGGCATCGAGAGTGTGGCTTCAGTGCCGCACAGCCGGGCTGCGTGATTGTGCGGCTGTCCAGCTGTGCACAAGTCGCTGCTGCTCCTGTATATATGTACAGCCGCGTCTGTTGCGTGTGTGTGTTTTGCAGTGCTGTGGTCTGGCCACACCTAGGGGTCAAGGGTCAGGACAGACACACTGCCCAGCAGGCCTGCACACGGACGGCCGCCCCTCTGAGCAGTGTTTTTAAACGAGAGAGGAGAATATTGCACAAGGGCAAGTTTTTATTTTTTACTTTTTTTTTAAGTGTTACAATTTAAGGCGAAAGCAGGGGAAGTGAAATCGTTTTACTTTACAGCACTAGTGAGAGCAGGGAGGTGGCGATTAGACTCTACTGACTCTCTGTGCCAAGCAGTTTCTAACAGCCCTGGGATCTGTGCAGGGAGGTATTTTTTCTCATTTGTAGCCCCCTGGTTATGTTCTATTTTATACTCTCATTTGAAATTGCCCGTTGTTTAAGAGCTCTGCTGAAAAAGCCGCACAGTGGAGAATGAGAGTAGGTGTACGTGCCCGCCCATCGGAGCCTTTCATCTTGTGACGCATGGCGAGCCCCACTCCCTGACAGCAGTGCTTCCCAAACTGGTCCCATGTGGAATCGGAAGAGATTGTTTAAAGATCTGTGTTTTTGTGTGGCTTTTCCCAGCATTGAACCGAAGGGGTAAACAGTTCTGTCCCTTGAAACAAACTCAGATCATCACATCAGGCTTCTAGTCCAAAAAAGTGAACTGTGATATTTCTCATCACAGCTATAGTCTGTTAATGGCACCCAGCCCTGCTCCTGAAGGAACAGTCTTTGCTCCAGTGCTGATCGATGACTTAATTGATCTGCTTTCTTGTTTAGACTTTCATTGAACTTGTTTCATCTGTAAGTCCTGTGTGTCAAAATTTCCCGAATTCAAGGTTACCATTCCCAACACGTTCAGCATGTAGAACGCTGTGCCGCCTCTCCTCACCTTACAGAGTGAACAGCTCTTGGTAGCCGATCAGCTGCTGGTGAGCAGGTAGAGGTGGGAATGACGCAATGAGCGCTTCTCCTTCTGCACAAGTCTGATCAGTTACATTTCAGGGAGCGCTGCTGGAGGAGGGCAGCTCTGCAGCTCAGAAACTGGTACAGAGCAGATGACAAATACAAGCCCCGATCGACCTTTTAAGAGCTGCAGGTGAATTTACAAAATAGGTAACTGAGATCGGTGAGCCTGTGATTAATTACTCAGCTGCAATAAATAGAGGTACAGTTCTTCTAGGGCCAGGGTTAGGAACCACTGCTCTATGTTGAGAGTTTAAAATAACTCTTGCAATATGGGTGCATTTTATTTAACGTTAAAAGCGTGCCGTGATCTGAAGAGGTTTGGGAAGCACTGCCTCTGGTGGAGAAGCTCCTAGCAGACGCCAGGGAGCGAGATGAAATCGGACCCTGGTACTCTCCCGGTCAGGTGTGTCCTGGTCACGGCCGGCTGGTGACTGCAGCCCACTCCGTCTGGGACGGCCACACCCTGCTGCTCGGCTTCACACACTGTGCCTGAGCGGCCCCACTGGGCCGCCGCCGCCATTGTTTTAAACTGGACACCTGTATGGATGATGACTTCCTCGAAGAATAAAATGGCCGATACAAGAGTCTGTGTCGTTGTGTGGATCGAACGGCGGTGGGGGGTGGGGGGTTACTCCCGTGCGTAATTTAAAATCGTGTACCGGGTATAAAATACATCACTTCTGGATCCAACACGTTTACAGCCATATCGGGGAAGATATTTTTTGTAATAAGTACTTTGAATTGTATTGAAAAGACGTGACCTAAAATACATTGCCTGTAGGTGTGACAAATTCACGACATTATCAGGACAGTTTGTATAGCGGATACCCAGGTCAGGCTAGTAGCATGTGTGGCCACTGTGGGAGGAAGTACAAGCTATACGTCTGGGACTCGTGACTTGTACCAGGTTGCAGATGCTGTGATGTGGGATTCTGTCCCTTTCCTCTCCTACTGCCTGGAGCCTGTGCCTGGTCACTGGTCTCTGAGCCCTAGATGTCACATCACCCCAGCTCATCCCAGAAATGTTTGATGGGGCTCACATCAGGATAGTAGGGATTCCACAGTATAACAGCCAGGTTCCTGTCAGTCCCTGCCTGTGGAGTTCTGTAGTGAGTGGACACTTCTGCCCAGTGTACACAACCACCGTCACATCTGTAACATCAATCGGGGTGGTCGACGCAGAGCGATGCTTCATCTCTGAAGAGGCCTTGGCTCAAGGGCTCTCTCCCCCTTTACTCTGATGAGCATTAGGCCTCTGTGTGATTGTCTGGCCTGCAGACAGTGGCTGCTCAGCTGCCCCCACAGCTGAGAACTGTAACGGACTGCAAGTCCAGTGGCAGTTTGAGATGACGGTGCATGATGTCGGTTCTGGCGAGGTATCGCGACTCGTGCTTTCCCAGATCAGTCCCTGTCAGTGCTGTTACGTGTTGTAACATCTTGCCAGATTTCGGAATAGTCGAGCCTTTCACATTCTGACGGCACAAAGACATTGTTCTCTTCGTCTGCTGGACAGATTCTGGGGTGTTCTTTCTTGATCCCTCAGGGTAATCCTTGAACAGGTTGAATCGCCTCATCCCCTGTGCTCGGTCAGCTCTAATGAAGTGATTCAGCGACTACACAACCGTCAAAATGACTTCCACAGTCAATCATGAATGATCAATTCATAAAACCGAAACTACAAACAACTTCTATATGGGCAACCTTTCAAACAGCTGAAATACTTCTGTTTTATTTTCCTAAAACATGTATGTACGGTGATTTTTCCACTCTGGTTATTGCCTTATAAAAGGGCAATAATACAGTGATGTTCCCTGAGCTCAGGACCTGCGTGGCATGGGCTTGGATGGTGCTAGGCTGTCTGCTTTGATCTGTTCCTGTGGTTTCTGGGAGAGGACGATGGGTGGTCAGAAAAAGAGGAGAACCCTGTTAGAAGTAGGGCCTTGCTCACTTTCCACAGTCAGACTGGTCATTTGTAATGCAATGGTCCAGCAGGAACGGTCAGCAGGCATGTGTGAGAGCTGTTCCTCAGGTCAGTCTGTCCACATGTCTTAAACAAGTCTGTCCAGCCTTCCCGAAGGGAAGATTCAGCAGGGGACAAGCAACGGCGGGCTAGTGGGAATGAGCTCTTCATGAAGCTCAGATTTTTTTACTGTAAACTTATGGCGCCATTTTGCATCCTATATTATTGTTGGGCATTTTTTCAGGTGCTTTTATCCAGAGGCGTTTGGAGAGAACGTCGCCTGGATACAGTCATAGCCGAAGTGCTCTGCTCCAGCTGCACGTTACAAAGGCTGTGTAAGGTTTCCACTGTGATGGTGGAATCCTTCTCTGCCATCACAGAAAAGGGTTGCTGTGCATGGCCAAGTCAAACCTGACTGAGTCCAGGCTTTGGGGTTTTACTGCCTCTGCATCATCCCCGGAAATATTTTCTTGTCTGCAGGATGGAGAGCAGACAGGCCATTCAACCCATCTTGTTTGTTATATAGAAGCTAGTAGCAACACCTGATTCAATAATTCAAAATCCTCAAAGACACTGACAAAAGTCAGCACTGAAGCACAAACCTATGTGGAAGAGCATTTAAAACCGAGAACAGGGGGCACTTCTTTACCCAGAGGGTTGTGGAACAATGTTGCTTCGGCCATGTTGCTGAAGCTGATACTCTTACTTCCAAGAAGCAGCTGGATGAGATCCTGGGATCAATTAATTAGGTACTAAATTCCAAACGTGTTAGACAGGTCAAACGCGGCTCGTTTGTCACCTACGTGCTGATGAAACAAAACAAACTGAAGGGCATCTCTCGGGCTGGAGAGCGCCTGCAATGCCTCTGGCTGCCACAAGAGGGCGCCGACCCCCCGCTTGCTGCTGACGTGGAGACGGGCCGAGAAGGACGCTTGCGAGTAAATATGGCGGCGCCCACGAGCGAGCGGGGCTGTTCCAGAAGCGGCGGTCTACCCGGTTCGGGAAACCCGGACAGCAGTCCGGGGTCCAGGGAGGAGGAGGAGGAGGACGGCATCCCGGAGCACGTCACCCAATATGTGGAGAGCGAGATCGGCGGGGACCTGAAGTCCCTGAGGAAAGTGAGGGCCCTGCTGGAGAGCCTGCTGGCGGAAAACAAGCTTCTGGAGGAGCAGGTAGGGCAGCCGGTGGGCGACACGGGTGACGGGGGCTCGGGGTGGGTCAATGGCAGTCCGTCTGCAGCGCTGTCCGCCCCGAAGAGGATAAAAGGACGGGACCGGCGCAGGGCATTCATTATAATACGGCCAGTATAAAGTGTAGCTCAGCCCGTTATTACTGAGAGACCAGTAACCAGTGGCTGTTTGTTACTGCTATACGCCCGGGTCGACGCCCCTGGTCCCTCTCGGGTCCTAGTGTAAGAAACGGGTAATTATTAATAACAACAACTCATCATAATGCCGGAGAAGCTGTCGGAATAACCGGGGCACAGAGCCGACACGGTCGCGCTTTGCTGATCCTCGTTGTACATGAGGCTCTTCACGCCCGCTATGAGCTGCAGCACAAGGAGGGGAAAAGTGCCTGAAATCCTAATAAGCAGGGAAACGACAGAGAACCGGCCCGCAGACTGGGGTTTGAAGTGTACGAGCCGAGTCCGCAGAGACACACGGACAGTCCACACGCCAGTGTGTGTGTGTGAGAGAGAGAGAAGTTTTCTGTGTGTGTTTGCGTCCCCGTTAGCGCTCCGCCGGTGAGCGCTTTGGCACATCGGGGTGCGATTGTCATGCACATCATTTCGGGCACAAAAGAAAACGTCCTTTGCATAAAGTCCAGCCGAGACGTGGGAAAGCGCCGCTTTCATGCAGCCCGGCTCGGCCTCTGCCGGGAGTTGTGCCAGATGAGGAGGGGTCTGTGGGGCGGTTGCCCTGCGCAAGACCTCATGCGGAGCAGGTGACATCAGTCTGAACGGTGGGTGTGAAGAAGTCCTCGCTCTTCCGGCGATGGGTTGAAAATATTGCGATCTCTTCCCCCTGATGAGCTCGGCCCCTGGGCAGCCCTGTTCTGTGCAGGGGGCTCAGTTTCCCACCGAGACCTTGAATCAGGGCGACTCGCACAGACAGGCACTCAGGTTCGCTGAGCTTTGCTGGCCTGAACGATGAATTACTGCAACAATAAGCAAGGCATTAATGTTTACACTTATATAGCGCTTTTCTGGACACTCCACTCAAAGCGCTTTACAGGTAATGGGGACTCCCCTGTGTGTAGCCCCACCTGGATGATATGACGGCAGCCATAGTGCACCAGTACACTTCCCACACACCAGCTCTCAGTGGGGAGGACAACAGAGTGACGAAGCCAGTTCAGAGATGGGGATTATTAGGAGGCAATGATTGGTAAGGGCCAATGGGAACTTTGGCCAGGACGCCAGGGTTACACCCCTGCTTTCTTCGAGAAGCGCCCTGGGATTTTTAATGACCACAGAGAGTCAGGACCTCGGTTTTACGTCTCATCCGAAGTATCGTCACTATACTGGGGCATTAGGACCCACATGGACCGCAGGGTGAGCGCCCCCTGCTGGCCCCACTAACATGTCTTCCAGCAGCAACCTTAGTTTTTCCCAGGAGTCTCC